CTTGAGCAAGTGACTTAGATACATCCTGCAAAGCAAATTTCATTCCAGTGGATGCCAGAGAGATGGTGGGGATTAAGATAATAGAAGACTGAGGCAGTATAAATCACAAGAAGTAACACATTTTCAGAGTGTGCTAGTTGTTAGGTAAGATAGTCCTAAGAATCAATTTTTGGGCACTTCCTGGTGGTTCAAGGGGTTAAAGTGCTGCATTGTGAAACTATAATCCGTTGCTTAATAGAAAAGCAATTACATATAATAAGTAGCTTCAGATATAATGAAAAATCCTTTCTTTAATATCTATTTATTTATGCATACAAGAGCTGGGAAATGGGCAGAGGTACAGGGGCGGTGAGAGGACGCACCATAGACAGAGCCCGGAGCAGAACAAGCAGATAGCCAAAGTACACTGCTGAGGGGGGCAGCGGGCTGGTCAGGAGAGGTCTGCTGTGTGTGCCATGTGTGTCACCTCTTTGGCAGAGAATCAACTCGTGAAGTGGCTGTGGCTAGCTTCCTAGTGCTGTGCTTTCACCCATTTTGCCAGAGAGGATCACCTTCTGTTTATTTAAACAGACAGCATCTGTCATGCGTTCTCAAGACTTAGAAGGACTAGTTCCAGTACTTGCACCTTTGGTTATGCAACTCTAACAGTAAAACCCACTCTAGATGACACAAGATGAGTAATTTCATTATTTATACACAGTTATCATATTTATATGTTAACCACATACAAATAACATATGCATAAATAACATATAGTAACGAGGTGTGTTTGCATTTAAAAAAAAAAAAGATTTCTTTTTTCCTTTGAGAATAAGGGCAAGTCATTGCTTCTGATGCAGAGCTGCCATAAAAAGCTAGTAGGTGTACTGGCGCCTGGCACTGAAGCCACAGGCTTCCCACAGGGGTCTCGCCCTCTGCTAGGCTCCCCCAGAGACCTGCAAGACTCAGATATTTAGTGAACGGTTCTGTGATAACACGTTCTGTCAGCATTGCCAGTAGCCAGAGTTCTCCACGGTGGCGACATTTTTTTTTCCCCCCATGCATGGGTCTCGCCACCCTGCCAACGCCAAAACCATGATGCCTGAGCCGTCTGGAATTTTCTAGGTGGTCTGGATAATTAGAATCATATCGCCAGTCTTTAGCGCCTGCGCAGACCCACTCCCAGCCAGCCGCAATGTTACAGCGAGGCAGGACAGAGTGCGCATGAGCATCCGTGACGTAGCGCCACAGCCCTCTCCGCTGGCCGGCAGAAGGCCTTTTTTCCTGGGCAACCTCGGCATTATCAGGTGCTTGCGCTGCTCCTTGTTGTGACCAGGATTTTGCATAGCTCCTGCTTCACAACAGGTCCAAGGTACTATAAAATATATTGATAGCCATTATGTTATCCCATCTTCTGTTTTCAAAAAGAAAAATGTGGGTCTCTACACAGGCCTACTCTCTATCATTATCTTATCTGCAAGTCCTCTAGATTTGTTCTCTATTCAGAATTGTCTGAATTTATTTGAATTGACATTTTTATTTCAGTATAAGTTTTAAAATCAAGCCAATAAGGCACGACAAATAGGTATAATTTATGAAAGTAGGAGAAAAGAAATGAAAAGGCATTGTTTATACACTAAGTGAATATTTTATATTAGAAAATCCGGCATAATCTACCAATAACGTATTTGAATTATAATGGTTTCAACAAGGGCTCTGGATACATGAAAAAAAAAAAGTACTTACAGTTCTTTGTAACACTAAAGTAATAAAACGAAGTTAAAATTACCATTTATCATATATCAGAATTATTAAACACTTAGGACTGAAATGTTTAATAATATATGAAAGTCCTCTACCTAGAAAACAATGAGACTTTATTGAGAAAAATTAAAGCTGTAAATAAAGAGGATAAGAGGATATAATGTAGGTTGCTTTTTTGCTTTTTTTTTTTTTTTTTTTTGAAGACTTGGCCTTGTGAATCTCTCTCCAAATAGATCTATAGATCCAATGCAATATCAATTGAAATGTAGTATGTTTTTTGGGGGAGGGTTGTGGAACACATTTTTCTAAATGTTTTACGTAACTACAAAGACAAAGACCTTTTTAAATTTGAACAAAGTTACAGGATATGTTTCATTGAATATTAATATATTTGAATGATTCAATAATTCAGTGTAGAACAGAATAGGGATTTCAGAAAGTGATTCAAAACTACATACTTTACTGTGACAAAGATGTCACTGTAGAACATCTTTCTAGAAGTAATATTTGGATAATTGGATATGCACATTACAACCAAGAAAATTTAGTGGCTTAGAACAACAGCACTGATTTTATAATTTCATGCCCCCCCCCCCCCCGCCCCACCATTCTCTCTCTCTCTCTTTCTCTCATTCTCCATGTATTTTCTGTGTCGTCCAGGCAGTGAGACTACTAGATGGTGGTTTAGGTCCTAAAGCAAAGTTTCTCCAAAGGCAAGAAGTTGCCTTTGGCTTCTGACTTTTCTGCACAAACCAGAGCTTTTAATTTAGTTCCATTTTATTTAATATAAGGAAAGCATAACCCACTCTGATTCAAGAGGTGGGCTATAAAACCCCAACTTTGATGGGAAAAGTGTCAAGATCAAAGTGAGGAAAAGCATGTGGGAGTCTAGTTATTTTTGAATCTACCTTTGGAAAAGAAAATGTATCAAGTACAGAAAAGGGATTAAAATTAATCTCACCTTATGTCATACCCAAAACTCAACTCCAACATTAATATTTATAGGAAACACAAAAGAAGATGGTCTTTGTGATTTGGTGAGGGCTTAGATACTATGTGACATAAAAATTGTGCCATAAAGGATAAATTTGGTGATTAGACATCTAGTAGAAATATGAACTTTGGCTCATCAACATGATGTTGTCAATATAGAGTAGGTGGTTGTATTTGCATCTATCATCTAAAAAGGGCCTAAACATAAAACAGACATATAAAACCATCACAGATCATCAAAATTAGACCAATAACTGAAAAAAATGGGCTAGAGATTTGAATAACAGTAGAGGATAGTTAGTTGGCTAAAAAACATCGGCAAATTCCAACAAGCAGGGACAAGTAGAATCATTGGAGGAGACAGAGAGGCTACTTCTCCAGGTGCAGTAATCAAACTAAGTACTAAATTCGAGTGGAGAAAATGGCTAGTACTACTCCTCTGGGCACGAAGGTTCACGTCACAGGATGGTCTCCTCTGCCACATGCAGGACTCTGCTTTCTCCCTCTCCCATTGCTGCACTGAAGTGCTGTCTCCTGTCACCAGAATCTCGGCAGCTCCTTTTCTCCTTGGGTCATTGACATCTAGCTGATCTTGGGGGATTGTGCTGCTGAAGAGTAGAGCCTGGGTCACTGTGGAGTTTACCTTTCATCAGGCTACTGTGTAAGGTGTGGCTTTGAAAACATAGCAGTTTCAGATGCTGAGGAAGATGAATGGCAGACCCACACCCCTATCTTTTGTGTGGGGGTCTTTGTGCACACACTTACCACAAAGCCCACTAGCAGGAACAAGGTTTCCATATATCTGAGATGCATGAAGAGATTAGCAGTCATTTACTCTGACAAGGATTAACAGTCATGAATGACCCCATATTCTAAAATATACTTAGATTTCTGCCAAATTCTTTGTGTGGTGTGTGTTTTTGTTATTTTACAACTATAATTTTACCATTTTCTGCTGTACTAGAAAATTTTGAACTGCTTAGTATCCAATTGTGGTAAGTTTTTTCCTTTCTGCATTCTATTCTCATTTATTGATTTTATGATAGAGGACAATTGATCTTCATAAATTACCAGAGTTTTTACATTTTTTAGCTAACCACCTAACCTTTACCCTTAGTGAAAAAGTAAATGGTTTTAGCTTACATTTTAACATCTTTAAAGTCTGCATTTTACAGTAAAAAACGCGATTACTTGTCATTTTATAACTATTTTTTTTAGAATTGATAAAATATATAATTATTGTTAAATACCAAAATAACAGCTAACAGATGAGTATTCAAGGTCATTGCCTAATTTTGTCTCCTAATTATTAATGTCTGTCTATTTAATATTATGGATCTCTGATATTAAGATTCTCTGGGAAATTATACAGACCCAACACAAAGCCTTACTTCCATTCTTCTATTTTCACAGCTGTGTCATTCTTCTCTGTTTTGTCTCAAAATGGCACTGTAGCCTTTTCCGTGGTCTCCTGGTGATGTCTGAATTATACAGGGGAATCCTCAGACTGGTCCTCGACCTCTGTCACCCTGCTTTCCTGAGCTGTCCTTTTCCTTACTTGATTAGTTCTGCAAATACCTCTCAGATAACAAGCACACCATTATGACCAAGATAATAATGCCTATTATATCTTGTTCTCCATGAGAAAAGTACACTTATTTTGCACTAGTTCTGTCTCATATTACTTGGGAATCATATATAATTGTGATGTATATTTAAGTGGTAACCTATCGCTGTTGATATACTTTCTTGTGTATTTCCTTATTTACCTTTCACAGCAAATGTACTTTATAACAGAGTAATTATTCTCATTTTTCAAATAAGAAAACAGAGTTTGGCAAAGCTCACATAATAGTGGCTGGCAGATTCCAAATTATGATTGATTTTCAGACCTCTAAACCAGTTATTTTTGTTTACCCATTCTGCCCAATACCATTTTTCTGTGTTTTTTAAAATTTTCATTTAATGATCTTGTAATAACTATGGTTTATCTTATAATAAAGAATTTGAACAGACAATAGTATTTTACTAGAGTTTTCCAGAAATATAACAAAATTTGATAGAATTTTAATCTGATGGGCAGTTTTTTCATTAACTAATTCATTCTATTTAACTGTGACATGCTACCAAAAATTAATTACTTTGAACAGGGATGGGTTTTGGTATTTGTTTTAACAGAAATTAATATTTTATAAGGAATATGACTTATGCTAATATTGATCTCACTTGCCTGTAATCTTTTTTCCACACCTCTTTTATTTTAGTTATGTTTCGCCTTTATGATACGGATGGAAATGGCTTCCTGGACAGCTCGGTAATTTTTTTTTTCTTCAAATTTTCTGTGAAAACTTCAAAGTAGTTTGTTCTGAAAAAAGCAATGAATAAATTCATAGCTATTAGCACAGAAGGCACACTCAATATAATTTCCATGCACTCACACAGCATTTTTATCATCCGACTTTGAGTGTGATCTTAGGAAACTGTTAGGATTACAATTATTCTACTGAATAATTTTCCTACAAAAAGTGACTTTTTAATGCACTGAACTTAGATGAAAAGGAAAAGTCCAGTGTTGTCTGAATAAAACATTAGAGAAAGTTGAGAGCATTGAACTAAGAAGAAAAATATACATTTATCATTGAGATTTGGTACTAAGAAAAACACTCAAAATACAAGTGGAATTTAAAATTTTAAATTACCAAGTTAATGTAATTTTTTTTTTATTTCCCCAAGACTAAAAAGTCATCTTAGTTATATGTACTATTGAAAATGTAAATACAAGTTGCTTTGACCAATTTTCCTTTTTTAAAATGTCACATTCATTTTTACATGGATCTTGTATTCTGTCAGTCATTTTAGTCATAAAGGATCATAGAAGAAAATCACCCTCTCTGTATGATTTAACCTCAAGAAATTAGTAGGTCTTTATGTAGTCATATTTTATGTAAGTCATTGATAACTTTCCAAGTAACAGTTAGCACTTGTTAGTACCTCATATATAAATTCATCCAATAGTGTATTATAATTTGTTAATATAATTTGCATGTCATCTTATATTTCTTTTGTATGTAAAAGAAATAGAGGGATATTTGCAAAAGAATACGCATCTAGATATGGAAATTTTGCAGAGGTTCATTAAAAGCAAAATGTTTTCATATGTTTAATGCTGACTAAAATAAACGTTATCTCACATTATGAATGACTTTCTCACATCATCTCATGTACCCACTCTCACAGAATTCAAATGGAAGTTATAAAAGTTGGAGGTGTATTTCTGTGACATTGAGTAAGATAATGTGAGCAGGATAATGGTACATTAGCTTCTCTAGAGAGAGATAAAAATATAAAATTCCTACTCTAGGAAATGACCACCAATCTGAATTGATGCTACGATTGTGTGATTTTTTTAATGTTTATGTCGCTCTGATATTTCAAGTGCTATTATTTTTAAGTGCCTGGCCATTCCATTTTGCCATTTAGGACTATCGGACTGCATGATAAACTTGTTCATTTTCTGGTGGCATTTCACAGCTAAGAGTTTAGACTTCTAGATAACTCAATATGCTTATTACAGCATTTCTGACTATACTAATGCAAATTGTATTTTTAATGCAGATTTATTTACTGTTTCTGTTAACTTAATTAAAGGAATGTTTCTTTTACTAGGCTTTTAGCCAGGGGTTGGCAGCTGACTTAAAAATTCAGTCCAGTGCTTTTTTTTTTAATCATCACAGTTACGTTACAAGCAATATTTATTAACTGTGTTACTTATAATAAACAATGTGTTGTGATAAATGTATTTGTTTATCATTAAATTAGTCTTTTTTTTTTGTAATGAAAGGTTTGAAATTTATTTCCATGGTTTTCTGAAAGTAGCCTACTGTCCTAGTGTAATTCCTCAATATCAAGTTGAGATTGCATTTTCTTATGAGTTTTCTTGGTAATTTAAAGGTAAAGTAGTTCACCAATAAAGATAAATGAGGGAAATAGATTCTTCGAACAATGACCACTAGATCTAAAAATACTTATTAGTGCTCATCGATCATTTTCAATATTCCAGACAACAACAGTTCATATATTATAGTATATTTGCAGCAACCCTGAACTAGGTAAGATTCAAATATCCATATTACTGGTGAAGAAACCGAGTCTGAAAGAGTCCAAGTAATTAATGTCATGTGCCTTCTGTAATATATAGTCCCCCTTATGTCATCTTTTTCCCCCTGTAAACTCTTTGAAGCTAGTAAGTATATAATTAGTAGCTTTAGAACAGGTGAAAGATTAGTAACACAAACACATAATTGTAGCTTATAATTCCAAGGATTTTTGTAATAAATATACATACATGTGCATTATTTCTGGGGAAAATGATGTTTCATTAAGCAACATTTTCTTGATTGTGCTTTTTCTGGAAAGAGAAGTATGAGCTTTCATCAGTTTCTCAGAGAATTCCCACCAAAAGGAGATATTTTACTCTTTCCTTCATGCCATGTATATTAACTACATATATTGGTCAGCGATTTGAGATGAAGGAGTATACTCCTATGCCTTATTATGCTTTTTAAAAGATCATACTACAAAACACTTTGTGTTATGTCATTGATTACAAATGAAATTACTAGCGTTTACAAACCATGTTAGCCTTTTCAAGAGGTAGCTAGTGATAAAACAAAAAAAGCCCTGAAAATATTTAATTTATTTAGTCATGTTTTAGGCATTAGAAAACAGTTCTTCAATGAAACCACATTTGAGCATATAATGTGAAACTTCAAACTAAAATTATATACCCTCTAAATAAATTCTACAAACCTTGACCCTGAACACTCCCTCAGCAGAGCCAATCATTCCAGTAAGTGGCTAGAACTGTCATTACACAGTCTTAGTGAGTCAGAATAATGGACAAACATCTCAGTGGTTCTTAGATACTTTCTTCTACCCTTCTACAGCTATTTTCAAGCCAAAGGGTCATCAGTACATTAACAATCACACTTTGCAAAAATATGAATGCACTTCCTTTTATCATCTGTTTCTTTCTAAAGGAAGATTTGCTTCCTTAGGAATCTGAAAGGAAAAGCTTTCTTTGGGTAGCTGTGCCATCTCCTGGTGAAGGTTTCTAGATAAATGCAAAATGAATTTCTGTTTAGACTCTTATTTAAGTTAGCCAGACCTTTAATACTCATCTGTATAGTTCCCCTTAAAAATACATTTAAATTTCATATATAATGGATCATATAGTACCTTTAGTTATTAATACACACATGTATAATCAATTATAGGTGAAAATGATCGTGTAACTCCTCTTGAGCTACTTATTGGACAAAACAGTTTCTCTAAGTCAGACTTGAAAAACTTACGAAAGCTTGTTTCACTCTCTCTCTTTCTGCTCCAGGAGCTAGAAAACATCATCAGTCAGATGATGCACGTAGCAGAGTACCTTGAATGGGATGTCACTGAACTTAATCCAGTAGGTATATGGATAATTTAAGTGTTGGCTGAATTCTAGAAGATCCCTTTCTCTTTTGTCTTTTTTTAAAACCTAATAAAATACTGCCATTTAATGTTGTCTTTTGCTGCCTCTAACTTGCTTGTTCAAATCAGTAGCCAGGGTGCATTCTGAATAAGAAAATGTATATGTAGTGTTCAGGAAGCTCTTTGCTATATGTGTGTGTGTGTGTGTGTGTGTATATATATATATATATACACTTAACTGTTTGTCCTGAAAATGAGTTTGAATGGTGGTCTTCTATACAGGCCCGTGAACATAAGCCTGTGACATGAAAATGGCCATGTCATAAAGCAGTTTTTTTGATACATGTTTTTTATGACCACCTATGTTTTTTTAGAATTATATAAATAAAAAATTATCATCTGGGGCCTCCCTGGTGGCACAAGGGGTTATGTCTTAGCACTATGAAGTTATCATAGGCACTGCAACACGAGTTAGATCCCCTGCCAGGGAACTGACTCACGTGGCGCACTGTAGACCTTTCCTGACCACCCCGCTGCTCCTCTCAGCAGTGTATTCAGTACGTCTGCCTGTTCTGCTCCCCACTCTGTCTCTGGCGAGTCCCTGTACCTCTGGCCTGCACTACAGCCCTTATATGTATAAATAAATAAAATCTTTTAAAAAATTACCCTAAAAGAGGATGTGGATATTAAGAAAATGATGGTGGCAATTGATTATAAACCATGTGCTGTGCTGTCTTGTGTTACTTAGTGCTGAAAACTCTCTGAGGTAGATACTGTTTTATTCATGTTACAGATGAGGAATTGAGATATTGAAATATTAAAGTTATTTGTGCAAAACTCTTCAGCAGGGTACAGCTAGAGCTAGCAAATTGTAATCAAATTGTTTAAAGAAATTTAATTTGGGCCCTCCCTGGTGGCGCAGCGGTTTAAAGCACAGTGCTGGGAGGCTTAATTCATTTCAGCATGAGTTCTATCCCCGCCTGCCCTGGAGGTGACCCACATGGCGCGGCGGACCTCTCCTGGCCCACCCGCTGCTCCCCTCAGCAGTGTACTTCGTTGATCTGCCTGTCCTGCTCTCCACTCTGTCTCTGGTGAATCCTCTCACCCTCTGCATCTCAGTCCTGTACCCCAGTTCTGTATGAATAAATAAATAAATCTTTAAAAAATAAATTTAATGATGCTTATAAGAAAATAAAAACTTAATTTTATTAGATATATACCATCTATTGAAAAATACAATATTTTTCAAATTATATTAAAACATACTTGAGTAGAAATAATTTGATTTCACCAGTAGGACTGTTTTGAGGAGAGTTGATAGATGTTACTAAATTTAGTTTTTTTAAAACAACTCAAGTTTAACAAATTGCTAATCACTGAAGCAAATACACATCAATTTTTTTAAATGGTTTACATTTTGTCTGAGTTCCAGAAACCTGCTCTTTAGCCACTGCTCATTTTCACGCAGTTCACAGCCTGTATGGCATGGTCACATGACAGTACTCCCATGGCACTCCATAATTTTTGCACTCTTGCATTGTGAGTTCGTGCAAGAAAACTACGGTAAATCTACATGCAATGTCATGTACAAAGGAAGGCACCGTTTTTACTGAGGTTGGACTTTTCCAGGTTTTAACTCAGTTCTTTTTTTCTTCAGAGGCCTTGTTGAGATGTGCTTGCTGTGCTCATTACTGGGTAGCAGATGTCATAAGGGGTTTGTATATCGGATAACAAAGTAGCTAGCAAAATGCATTTGATTCACTTTAAAACTATTTTCACTGAAATCAAAGGACTTACTCATTTTATTGTCCCCTTTTTTTTGGTTATATAACTTTAAAAATTATTTCCTACTTATCACCTTAGTATCTATGGCAATGATTTGTCAAATCTCTTGTCCTCTCTGGAGTGATGGAGGGGATGGGAGCGTTCAAAGCAGAAGTGGGCATAAGCAAAACTATTTATAGTAGGGAAGTGGGTTTGAGGAGAGAATGATCTAGAAGCTCTGAAGAAAGAAACCATTGGCGTCTACACAGTCTAGTGATGACAAATACCTATTGGGACGTAGAATTAACAGTCCATATAGCATTACTTATCACATGTAGCTCACAATGGGGTTTCTGCAAAAAGGCAAGATGACTTACCTGTGCATCATGTTGCTGTCTTAGTAACTGTCTTCACTTGCCAAATGATTTAACAGCTGACACCATTTAAAGCAAATGTGCACACTTGTATGTATTGTCAGACCCCCTGATGAGTCTGCAGATGTGAATAATGAGAAATGACCAGTTGAAGTTCATAGCATAATTTGGACTGAGATGTCCTTTGAAGAAGTTTTTAAAAGCATGAAACCAGGTTCTAATTAATATTAGCAAAATGAAAGCACCCCGACACAAATGCTCTCTGTTTTGGTTCACTTATTTAGTCATTGTTACCAGTTTCTTAGAGCTCCTTTAAAGGGGCAGGAAATGAGATGCTCAGCCATTTTGCTAAATTGTAAGTATCTGTTCCTTTTGTTTTGGGGGAAAAAAGTCTGCATCATTTTGTCCTCAAAAGTCTTTGTTTTTCTAACACCGATAAATAAGTTTGTTTCTGTGACGATCAATAATCTAAGTTTTAAGTGTTCCCTGAGGAAAAATACCCGTCAGCCATAACAGTGCTTATCTACATAACAAGTTCATTCCATTTATTACACTTCTTCAAGCACTTGCTCTAACACTGTCTTCATTTCTTTCTTTTTCCTAATTGACTGAAATGTTCATCTTAGGTTGAGGTTCTGGTTGCTTATTAAACTGGCATTTTAGCATGTCAGCCATCTTGTGCCTTCCCTACAGACATAGGTAATGTTTGGTGCTCACTGATTTCTGCTGATACAATACTAACACTTACCACTTATGATTGATGCTTTTTGAAGAGACATTTAACATTAAGACACAGTTAACTTTTACAACAACCCTGTATATTAAATACTGATAGTTGCACTATTCTCCTGGGACATAAATGTACTACAAACACTGTGGAAGATGTTTTGGGATTCTGTGCAAGTTATTGTAGAATAGAGATCTAATCAAAGATGACTTGATTATTTAACATCTTGGCTCTGTTAAGTTTTAATAGGTAATTAGAAGCACCTTAATTCTCCCGCCCCTTAGCACTTAGCCAAGAGTTATTTCAGCTCTTTGCCATGAAGTTAATTTGTTCAGACATTATCCAGCATATATTTAAATAAAACAAATCTAGAAAAAGCAATTAAGGAACACTTTCACCATTAAATTAACGATGTCTTCTTGTTTTAGCAGTACCTTCCAGTGAAAAAATATTAAAAAGTTAAGCAATTATTTCTAAAAGTTGACCAGTATAAGTAGTCAGGTTCTATAAATCAGAACAAAGCCACTATCCCCTCAGTAATCGGATTAGCATTATACGAATTACATATATATTTAACTATATATATATATAATTAACATATATTTAATTACATATATATTCAACTCTGCATGTAGCTATTAGTTAGTTTTTTATTAGCCGATTCAATGCAATGCTGTTCTTATAGCATATGAAATTAATTTTATTGATTTATTGCACATCTTATCTCTTCCACTCCTCTATTCTAGATCCTCCATGAAATGATGGAAGAAATTGACTATGATCATGATGGAACAGTTTCTCTGGAGGAGTGGATACAAGGAGGAATGACCACAATTCCACTTCTTGTCCTTCTGGGCTTGGAAAATGTAAGCATTGATATGGTGAAAGCTGGCCTGTTGGCAAGTCAGTGGAAGACTCTTTTCCACATTTTGATTATAAAATGATCTGGCCATTTTTTTTTATCACAAAACATGTAGTGAGTCCCCGATCCTTTTAATAAACAGTGCAATTTTAACTATAACTCCTTGTATAGTAATAGTTGGCACAAGCACTGACTTGTTTCAGATATTACCTTAGAATTTAATATATATTTTTCTCCTTATTTGAAGTGTAGTCTAGTTTCAAAAAGTTATTGTACTTCTTGTACTAGTTAATATGGGACGAACCCCCAGGATTCCTACAACTGTGGTTCTTGTGCTCCAGCTCATTCTGTATTGCACCCCCAACACGTAGCTAATTAATTTATTGATAATCGATACTTGGCAGAGTAAATTACACATATATGAGGGAAAAAGACAACATGATCTATATCACACATATATATAAAGAATCTGATATATATCACTTATGCATTACACCTACACACATTTATGCACATTTTCACTTTTAACTCTTAAAATTGTCTTTAATCAGTGTCTTTGTGGTAATTCAACTGATTTGAAAAGTAAAATAGATCCACCTAAGTTCAGGATGTGATATGATGATGAGTTTGAAACGAAAAGTCATGCTGCGGCAGGCTTGATGTGAAATTTGGCCGTTGTTAACTTAAAATCCGATGAGTCAACATTAGATGTTTTCACTTGTCATTAATAGTTATGCAAGAGTGACTGTCACATGCATATAGTAAAGTGAATGCTGAAATTCAAAGAGCACTGATAATGGAAAGAGAGATGACACATACGATAATCACAGTTCTGAGATGCCAGATGATAATATCCACTGTGCCTTTGCTGTTGATACCAAAACTGTACTTCATGTTCCCAGCAGTAAATTTGCTGATTGAAGCCTATACCACAATAATTCAAGATCTCAAAATTTTGAGTCAGTTTTCTAGAAATCGGAGTATATGTTGTAATATGTTTGCACTATTATGGTATGTTTAATCATATTTTCATGAGAGTTTGGCAGTATATGTATGGGCTTTAAGACAGCTGAATTTGTCTCTTTTTCACAAGGGTCTTCAGATTCTTTTACTTTCAAATGTAATCTAGGTCTGCAGAATTTTAGTAATGTTCAGAGACTACTGAGGAAAAATTGCTAATAGAAGAAATTAAATAGTTTTGAAAAAATGATAATGAACACGTCTTATTTTTATGACATGTTTCTAGCTCTGAAAATTAGTAAAGCAGTAGTTCTTTTCTGTTCTTATGTTCGCTGTACTCTGGTATAATTTTGCACTAACTTATTACAAGTATCATTTACTTGTTTCATATACCAAGTGAATACACAAATCAGATTGTTGGCAGAAAAAAAATAGAAAATTGACAAACTTATTAAATTATCAAGGTTTAGTGTACACTTTGTGCTAAAATAATATTTGGCAGGGACTAGTTAAGAAGTTCTAATAGACATGGTTCTCTAGAAGGGAGTCTTACTTTTTTTTTTAAAGATTTATTTATTCATACTGGGGTACAGACCAGAGATGTGGAGGGTGAGAGGATTCACCAGAAACAGAGTGGGGAGCAGAACAGGCAGATTGACGAAGTACACTGCTGAGGGGAGCAGCGGGTGGGCCAGGAGAGGTCTACCGGACCATGTGGTCACCTTCGGGGCAAGCAGGAATCGAACACACGTGGAAGTGGCTTAAGCTTCTTAGTGCTGTGCTTTAACCCGCTGCGCCACCAGGGAGGGCCGGGAGTCTTACATTTTTAAAGCTAAAATTTTATTTATGTAAATGTTTATGGAAGAGAGAGTAAGGAAGCCATTTGATAGTGTGTGCATGACAGGGGTGGGGGACAGGAAGGTTGGTTGCAGAAGTAGATACTTCGTCATCTATAATTTAAATATCAGTATGAAAACACCATGGATAAATAAAGTCTACATGTCGATGTGGATTTATCTCAAAATATTTCAAGCAGATACACTTCCTCATCAGTTTCTAGTGTGTCGGTAGTTTTACTTCAACCGAATGATAGCTTTTCACCTTCATGTACATCAGCTTAATTATGCACAATTTATTTCAGAATAGCTTAATTACATTAATCTTTGTGTTTTTAGTAAAAAGATATTTGGGGGCCGACTAGTAGAAATTAATTTGTTTCAATGAAGTAACTAACCAAAGCTACTTTTCAAAATTGTTTGCAGTTATGGCCACTAGATGGCAGGGCTGTATTGTTTAACGTCATAGGTCAACAACTAGGAGAGACTGGTCGTTCCCTATAAAGAACAACTCTGAAATTTCTTCCCCATCACTTTTTTAAATAAGAGTATAGCAGTGGTGTTTAATTTTTTCTCCATTAATAAAATATATAAGCGATGTAATTATGATCACAAACAGAACATCTATTTGTTAGAAACAGCTTTTCATTCTAAAACATGATGTTTTCCGAAGCAGGAATGACACAATGACAGCTGAGTGATGAGGGTCTCCTTTTTTTTTTTAGTAACTGAGATTTATTTCCTTTTCTGCAGGCAGTTAATGTGTTATGTTGCTACCTGTAGGGAATGTAATCCTTGGTGCCTTTTCTCCCTTCAAATCTTAAAGTGCTAGGTGAAGTTAGCCATTTCTTGAGAGTCTCTCTTGATATGTTGTCCTATATATGCATGCCTTTTGCCAATTATGAGCTTGGGGAACAGAATCTAATTGACAATGCATGGTAAATACCATGGTGTATTTGAAAGTGACTGTGGTGTATTAGTCAAATTACTCAGATAAGAATATTGTCCTGGGAGAGGAATTCTCACTTGTATGGCAAGGCAGTTGTGATTTCATTGTGGTTTGTTTTTCTCCATCAACAGAATTTTTAATCTACCTCCATTTTAAATATTCTCATTAAGTATTTTGGTGCCAAAAGCAGAAGTGAAGTTTATCAGGACCAGATTCTGTACCAAATACTACAGCTGAATCATCTCCTTTATCTAACTCTAAGTTCTCCAAACTGTGAAACTCAAGATGAAATGGTGCAGTCTTGGTCTCTCATACAGCTGAATGAAAACCACAAGTTTGAGTGGCATAAGTAATTTCGATCACCACAGTAAAACATTTGTATCGTATTCTCCCTTTTGCATTCATTTCACTGAAGTTATTTTTTTTTAAAACATCTCAATTTGAATGAAAAAAAGAGTCTTGTTTAAATAACTGTATCTAGAAATAGACTCTGTTCCAGTAATTGGCAAACTTTATTTGTAAAAGGACAGATAGTAAATAATTTTTATCTTTGTGGGCCATAAGTTGCAACTGCTCAACTCTGCCGTTGAATCACAGTGCAATTAAAGACACTGTGTTAATGAGAGAGTGAGGCTGTGTTTCTTTTTATTTTGTAAGATCTCTAACTGTTGTTGAGATAAAATTCATGTAACATAAAATTCATCATTTAACTATTTTGAAGTATACGTTTCAGTGGCTTTCAGTATCCTTAGTTTGTGCATCTTTTTCTTTGACATTTTTTTTTTTTACATCAGGAATAAACTTTGTCTTCATTAAACAGTCACTCCCATAAAATCTTACTTATAAAAACAAAATTGTTGGTCCTACTTGACCCAAAACCCATAATATACTCATCCCGTGTTTATTCTAGGATTAATCTGGCATACTACACATAGGAAGAGAGATTTCATTATTTAAGAACTAGGAATAAAATACCTTTTATTTAGCTCAGTAAGATAACGCCAGTAAGGCATGAGGACTAATGAAGATATCACATCTTAATGTGGGCTTCATCAAATTGGTATTTCCCCCAACTTTGTTAGTAGCTAACTAGGTCATTTTGTGCCTGTCAGTCATTCTCTCTGGACATATAGAAAGTAGCCAAGCATTCCCCTTATACTTTTAATGTTCTTTCAGTTCAAACTTTCCTTTTTCTAGATGGACAATTTTATTAATTATGCTCTAATACTTGAAATTTGTAATCTTGGGTCATCATTACATTTTTCAAGGGAAATTTCGGAATTCATGTTTTCATAATAACCAGGATTAAATGTTTAAATAGTAGTAAGTGGGGTCCTGGCTTTAAGCAAGGAAACTTTTACTTGTTAGTTGGGGTGTCTTGTGCCCACATTTAGCCTGGCTGGGTGATTGCTGAATAGCTACATATTTTGATCTCACTCTATGTGATCACAGATTCTTAATCTTGAATTATATAAGTAGTTTAAACTTTGTTATTTGTTTGAAATTTTTTTGCACCCACATATTTTTTGCCTGACTCAGTAGGTTATCAGTAATTACCTCAGTAGATGATCAGAAATTATTTGGTTTGATTCCTGATTTCTGTGAAATAAATTCCCTAAGGAAATTTCTGAGTGTGATAGAAAGCAAAATTGATATATTCTTAATAAATGTGGAAAAGTAATGTTTTGCACTCAATGTGTTTAAACTTTAATTTGTTAATAGCTGTTCTTCTATCTATACATTGACCAATAGAAGGTGATACAAGACTGGATAAATGCAGACATTCTTGAGATCTCACTTTGGGTCATTCAAGGAAAACAACTGTGGTCTTAGATGATAGTCTTAGGTGATAGTCTTAGAGAATTTTAAGTTTGCTTTTGAACCTTAGGTATGGCCTAATCTTAGAAAATGTAAATTTGGAGATAAGCAGTTGATTACAATTCCTCAGAATGTTGAAAATTTTCTCTGCCATGTTCCAATTTAGGTTTACTTTTTGTCTAGAAAGTATAGTTTCAGATTGTTACAATTTTTTGGAGACCTTAAACAGAAAAGTAAGATAATTTAATGGTGCTTATTATTTAATGAGTTGGAATTAATTTGCAACATTAGCTTTTCAGTAGGATAAAATTGAAATCAGTTGAAATAGGGATATGCCTAGGGATATGCCTAGGGATATGCCTAGGATATGTAGGGACATTTTCCCTAGGCCATCATTGAAATTTTTTCTTGAGGGCGTTTGAAATCTGATACTGTTTATAATATCCCTAGTCACTTTACTATTATATCTGATTCTGGATGTATTTAGGAAAAAAAGTAAAAATGTTGAAATCACTGGGTCCATGAAATAGGTTTAATTTTTAAAGGGTGTTCTTCCCTTTGAAGCATATTCACTTGACTTGTAGCAGATTAAAAGAAGAGAAGAATAGAGCTGTGAGATTGAAGTTACAGAGATTTCACTAAACCTGTCTTTCTGATCAGCTTAGAACTGATCTGAGTCATTATAAAACAAGGTGTTTTTTGGATATCAAGAATACATTTCTATTAAGATTAATGTCCAGTAATTGAAAAAAAAAAAAAAAACTCATGAGAGCAAACACTTCTATGAAATAAAGTTTGGTAAACCTATAGATAGCCTCTTCCGACCTTACGGCTGATGTTGCACAACTTAGCCCATTGATGGTGAAAATATTTGCTGTTTATTTAATGCTTCATTGACTTTGCAGCTACTACATAATGGAACCTCACACCATGGTCTGGCAAAAGAAAGTGGGTACTTCCATTTATTAGGGAGGAAAATAGTAAGAAAAGTAAAATGACTTAATCTCCATTTTCTTCGTAGGCCAGGATTCAGATTCCCTTTCCATTTCTCTTTTATAGAAATAAATTTCTTCCAATGATAATAAATATTTATTTGCAATAGAAGTACCAATAGAAATATGCCCTCCTGGCTGATGGAATAATAGTAAGGGACTGTTTCTTCCCTTCCCCACTAAGTTTACCATCTAAATAAGACAAACAAGACAAGACATGAAAATATGAGAGTTAAGGTATAATTTGCACTGCTGAGAAGTAGTTGTCTCCTGGTTTCAATTTCTTCTCTTGAAGTCACATACATATTTCATCCTTTGCATATTTTGACAATATATCCAGCTAAGAGCTATAAAGCTATTTAATTTGTTTTTGGTAAAGCATTTTATGCCTGGGTAATGGATTTGGGCATCAGTTGCAGCCTGTAACGTGGCTAAGTGTTCTGATTGACAGAACACCCACGGTCAGACTTGTTTATTTTTTGATAAGGAAAATGCCAGCTAACTTAGTCCATATGTGCTCTTCCACAAGATGAGGCTTATCCACATGTGATGGACAATCATTTAAAAATAAAATGACAAGGCTTATAAGAATAGTAATACATTTGAATTTAGATATGCCTTTTTCCTTTTCATTAAAAAATAGTTTGAATGTTTTAAAAATATTTTAAATTTGTTAATGATATCAATGTTTAAAAAAAAAATGACCAAATGCCATTGTTTAGATTTGTTCATCTCATGTCTTATTTAAAGGAATAGAATTTTCAAAATATAGACAGTTTGGAAAATAGTATACAATTAAGCAGATCTATAAAACAACCTAGTCAATAATAAAGATACTAAAAATCTATGAATCCTGGGACTTAAGCAAACCAGGAACAGAGTCAGAGCTCACTATGAAACTGATTAAGTTTTGGAAGATAGCAGAAACTCCTGAACCTTCTGAAGCCCTCTCCATGATACCTTCTGCATAACTGCTTCTGGTGAGAGCTTCTTAGGCATTTTTTAGCAAATGGATCTGAGTATTGTCCAAAAGTATGATGGAGCTGAGATTTAGCCCCGTTGAAAGTTAACAAGGAAGTTTGTCTCGGCTTCATGGATGCTGCAGAGGACATGAGATGCCTGGGTAAGAAACAGAGGGCTAGCTGATTTACTGCAAACAAGTCCAATAGAGGCTTCACATCAACCAGTTTTCCTGGCCTGTGAAGTCTTGTGGAGATGATCCAACTAATTGCTGTGAACAACATCAAAACTTGGAAGCCCTGACTTATAGAGGCTAAATCTTTTATAGTGTGCAGTAAACAAACTTGCTTAATCTTTGCTTGGAAGACAGATATTTGTGTTATTCTGGACATAAATTAACTTGTCCTCTGCTCTGGAGGGAGACATTTCTCTTGTCCAAGTATGTTTGTTTTCATACATCTTTGAAAATATAACCTGGAAAATAGACAGTTCAGCTAATAAAATGTGCAGAAATTCAATAGACCCATGGATTATTATCTCCTAGGAAGCATTTTCATTAGTGTTTCATTTTATGATGCAAATTTGACATTTCTGGTCCTAATGTAAGTGTTAGTTACTATGGATTTAATCTGCTACTACAAATCTTGTGGTTTATCTCTTGACTGAAAATGGGAAAAAGTAGTTGGTAAGCTTTATAATTAATACTTTATTAAGAAAAGAAACAAATTGATCTGAACAAATTTATATTGTCTCACTAATTCAGAATTAATATTAGATTTTTTGATCACCTACTGTGTGATTAAAAATAAAATCACTCAGTAAAAGTATTCTAAGAAATTTGACAGCTTGTCTAATTGGAAAAATTATGATGTTGTATTTTAATACCAATAATATTATATCCAGAATTACTCAGTTTGATACAACTTGATTTCTGAGGTACAAGAACTATACTAATGGAAAAATGATGGTAACAAAGTAATGATATACAATAATTTCAATTAATAGATTTAAATTTTTTGTAAGGAATTTACACAATTCATAAGCATTCTATCGCTTTATTTCACTTAAATCTTGAACAATGCAGATGTGATTAAACATCAGCAGTAGCTATTATGATCTTATATTTTTACTTAGAAGAATATGTAACTACAGTTGTTATGCTAAAGTATGAATTCATTTGAATTCAAGGTTCTTGTGGCCAATAATTAGTGATTATTATAAATAAATACATTACAAATATTTTTACTACCTTTCCACAAGATTCGAATCACTCAAATTACTCAAAGTGCTAATGTAATTAAGTTTGTAAATGTTTATCTTTTAAACTTTGCTGTTTGAGATATACAAAAATATATTGCTATACATTATAACATATAAGGAATGTAAAAAAAACAGTCTCCGCATTTTAAGTTCTCACTTTCTGAGGCTCTTCTTCTCAAGGACATTAATTCTATCTTTTGTCATTGAGTTGAGAATGGAATTGTGCTGAGGATAAAACTTTTCAAATGCAAGGCAGACTCTTCCCTGTTTTTAGGGAGTGCTTTTTTCCTGGTAAGTCATCATGGTTTGGGACATGCTGTTGAACTGTTGACATTAGACAAGAATTTGTGGTTGCTATAGCATCTGAAATTTGTTAGCAGGATCTCATTCCACAAGAGTACATGTGTTTTTCTAGACTCTGTGGCGATCTTGGAGAAAGTCAGGGATGAAATAACAGATTGTCTTCAAATGCTTCAGTCCAGTTCTAAATTTTATTGGCACTTGCATATTCTACTGTTTATTTCATTAAGTGAAATCTGTTTTTCTTGCTTCCCGTGCAGAACGTGAAGGATGATGGACAGCATGTGTGGAGACTCAAGCACTTTAACAAACCTGCCTACTGCAATCTCTGCCTGAACATGCTGATCGGTGTGGGGAAGCAGGGTCTGTGCTGCTCCTGTGAGTACACCAGCTCTGCTCGGATCTCCTCACCGCCTACTGAGGAAAGCTTGATCTCGTGAGCCAGCCCTTTTCAGAGCTGGGGATCTGAAAAACCACCCAAACCCTACATACGCTTTTGACTTAGCTTTTTGAATGTATGTTTCTGAATGTTTAGTTCACTATAGTTTAACAGTTTTCAACTTAGGGAAACTCTGCCCTTGGAAAACAACTAAAGATGTGTTCTAATTCACTAACCATTTTCTTGCCGGTGAAATTTAATTTATACATGGTTCCTATTTTCTCCTGAAGCTGTTATAAAAATACTCACTGGTGTCTCATTTATACCCTGTTCCTATTCTGTTTTCCTATGTTAGCCGCTTTATTCCCAATGACTTTTTTTTTTAAAAAAGATTTATTTATTTATGCATACAGAACTGGGGTACAGGCCAGAGGTGCAGGGGCAGTGAGAGGATTCACTAGAGACAGAGTGGGGAGCAGAACAGGCCAACTGAGAAGTACACTGCTGAGGGGAGCAGCAGGCGGGTCAGGAGAGTTCTGCCCACCTCTGGGGTGAGGATTGAGCTCATGCTGAAGTGGCTTTAGCTTCTTAGTGCTCTGCTTTAACCCGCTGCACCGCCAGGGAGGGCCCTGACTTCTTTTTAAAAAAAGATTTATTTATTGATGCATACAGAACTGGGGTACAGGCCAGAGGTGCAGCTGTGGTGAGAGGATACACCAGAGACAAAGTGGGGAGCAGAATAGGCCAATTAGCAAAGTACACTGTTGAGGGGAGTAGTAGGTGAGACAGGAGAGGCCTTCTGCGCCATGTGGGTCACCTCCTGAGCGAGGATCAAACGGGCACTAAAGTGGCTGTGGCTGCTTGCAGGGCTGTGCTTTAACTGGCTGCACCACCAGTGTGGGCCCTATTCCCAGTGACTTCTAATGAATCAGTTCTTTCATGTTTATTAAAAAAGAGTTAAATTTGTTGAATATTCTTTGCATTCAGAGTAAGAAGTCGCAAGGACTACAAACCAACCTTAAACTTTGGGATTATTGTTTTAATTGTTTTTGTAAAGAAAATCTTCATAGACCCAAAGCATCACTACTTCATGAGTTGTGGCCATTATTTATTTTTTCCCCAGTACATTTAATTTTCATTGTATTTTACAAACTGAGTATTTCCCACCAATAGTTTCTAGTTTCTTGTACTGTATCAATAAATTTATAAAATGTACCTGAGTCAACATATATGCCTGATAAACTTTTCCGTTCCTCAGTATCCTCTTTAATATACGGGAACATATGTCCTGCTCAGTAAAGTATGAAGTTCTCTCCATCCAGCAGTTTTTCCATTTCTCTATCCACTATAGTTATTGAAATAGTCACATTGATTAGAAACATCCCATTCTTGTGTATTTACATTAAATCTAATTTCTTAACTTTGATTCCCCATAAACTATATAGTTTTAAGATACTATTTTTTTTAAACTTATTTTTTTTTAAAGATTTATTTATTTGTACATACAGAACTGGGGTGCAGGCCAGAGGTGCAGGGGCGGTGAGAGGCTTCACCAGAGACAGAGTGGGGAACAGAACAGGCAGATTGACGAAGTACACTGCTGAGGGGAGCAGTGGGCGGGTCAGGAGAGGTCTGCCACGCCATGTGGTCACCATGTGGTCACCTCCGGGGCAGACGGGAATCGAACTCATGCGGAAGTGGCTTTAGATTCTCAGTGCAGTGCTTTAACCTGCTGCGCCACCAGGGAGGGCCCTTAAGATACTATTTTTAGTGAGCAGCTTCTTGGCAATAGGCTTAGAAATTGTCTTTCTCTCAGCTGTGTAATTTGACATTTAAAGCCCTATTTTTGTACAATATTTAAGTGATTTTTAAGTGTTTAATTGTTTTAATAAAGTCACATGAGATAACCATGTGCCACGGTGGAGGGTATTTTCCCATGGTTGCATCTGAAAAGTTTGTGACACTAAAACACAGAGAAAGGAAGCGGTTTTTTTTTTTTTTTTTTTTTTAGAGTTTAATTGTTTAGGGGAAGTAATTTTTCATGGTTAATTCTCTTGATGGGAGTGTATGAGATCTAAAAAGATATCTCCCAAATAATGTGAGCCATGTCATAAATAGGGCAGTGAACATTTCATTCACAAACTTAATATGTGGCAAATGTAGTATTTTTACATTATAATTGATATGGAAGATAAGAAAAAGTATGTTTCTTCCTCAGTGTTGCCAAAGCAAATCACATATGTGGACATTTTGGAAGAATTTTACTATATATTATGTGGATCTTTTTTTCTAAGTTCACCTGTTAGTTTTTTGCTTTATTGGGAGGCTTATCTAGTTGTTCTTATTTACTTTTTATGCCATTGCTTAATTTATGCAGTTAGCACTCTTTATTTGAGATGTTTTACTAAAAGAGATCTGTATACACTTTGCAGTTATATTTATAATTAAGCCACAGAATAACTTGAACATGCTAATAATCAAGATATCTTGATTACACACATTTTGTTTTTCATATTTGTCCACACACAAACATGCTTGAATATTTATGTACATAAGTACACATAAACGTAAAGCTGTGTGTGTGTGTGTACTTGTTTCATATGCTTCTTAGCAAAGTTTCTCCCTTTTTAACAAGCAGTACCATGATGAGTGCCAAGTGTGGGGTGAACTTCTAGCAAAGGCCTAGCATCAGGGATGAAGTTTGTTCACTCTGGAAATAGACAATCAGCTATCTAAGGTCTAGTTAAATCAATAGACAAAATAGTATAGACTCAGGGACTTTTATTCCCATGCCAACCAGCTGCTCTCATGCCTATACTTTGTAAAATATAGATCTCTTCCTTCTAGCAAATGACACCAAGCCATTTGGTAGTCATCAATTTGTCTTTAATATTTTTGTCATCTGGGAATTATTGTGAAAAATTTGAGTGAGGTCTGATTTAATTAAGCATTTCCTGCTATGCCATGATAGAGGAGTCGTGGTTTTTCACATGCATAATATTTCCTGTGCTAATTGGCCTTTTGTATTCCATGGTAAAAACAGTCGACTTGGACTTTTCCTTGATGTGGCTGATTGAATTGATTAGAGAGCAGTGGATATGAAATGAGGTTCTGTTAATGTCATTCTTTCCCTATAAAATTGCCATCAGGGCCAGGGTTAGCTCTGAATTTGTGTACCTGTTTCCTTTCAGTTTGCAAGTATACAGTCCATGAACGCTGTGTGGCCAGAGCACCGCCCTCTTGCATCAAGACCTATGTGAAGTCCAAGAAGAACACTGATGTAAGTGTGTTGTGCGCTTGCTTTCTGAGGGTGCCATTTCTGGAAGCCTCTTCTTACCACAGTGTTCTTGTTCTGTTCTAGGTCATGCACCATTACTGGGTTGAAGGCAACTGCCCGACCAAGTGTGATAAGTGCCACAAAACAGTGAAATGTTACCAGGGCCTGACAGGACTGCATTGTGTATGGTGTCAGATTACAGTAAGTAAGAATAGAATTCAGACTTGCAGACTCACTCATGGTGACATATTCCATGTTCTCTGAGAGTCCTGTCCTGGAAGGGTATCCTGAATTTGGGATTAAGGCTTCTTATTTCATCTGGCTCCCTTTGAGATAAGGATCAAAGTTAGCTTTGTCCTCACAGAATGTGTAATCTTTGAGTTAGTGGCCATAAGACAAGTCTCCCCATCATGTGGCTCCACATGTGGACTATGGAGCTCAGGAAGTTGGCAGGACAGTTTTCAGACACCACAGCTTGAGGTAGGAAATGAGAATGGAAATTAAGTAGGATTCAACTCTTTCTCCATCACATAGCCCTCATTTGGAAGAGTTTTCTATTTTACATATTGTGATTTTATTCACAGAATCTTTGTGCTTAAAAGGATATAGGAAATGTTGTTGAAATGACTAAACATTATGGGAAAGTTATTACGGCTAAGAGAAGCCAATCAAATTGCTCTAGCCACATGGCTAGATAGCGATGTTTCCAAGTACACAGTAAAGTACTAAGTACTAAGTACTTTACCTTTCACATTATGATTCTGCCTTCCTCCATCAGTTAAATTGTAAGTTGAGAGGTAAGAACTATGGATGTAAATACCAATCGTTAATGGTATTGATGATTTAAAAGAGGTGACTAGATTGGTCTTTCCTGGGTACAGTTAGAAGGCCACATGGTTTACAGTGTTAGCAAAGTCCTCTAGTAACTTCTGGAAGAAATGCAGTTATCAGATGGTGCTTCAGATGTTTCCTAATTTCTGGAAATTAATTGTAATATGCATTTTTCAAGAATAGACAGTTTTGACCATATAGCACAAAAATATTGACAGGACTTTGTTATTTCTCCCACTTGTTCTTTCTTTCAGCTAGTGTTTGAGTCCTCTTGTTGTAGGACTGATAGTTCTTGCTTTAGTGGGAATAAAACATTAGGGGGCACTGAGTCAGCAAAGCAAGGAAGTTTCTCTGTAATGCCCCCCCAAACCCCCACACACCATTTAAAATTGTTTCTTAAATATGCACAGAGAATATTTAGAAAAACAAACTGGGACTTGCATTTCAAAAATATCATTAAGTTTTTTTTTTTTTTAGATGAACACACTTTCCTCAGTCATTTTCAGCTATTATTTGGTTAAATTATATTTATGTTTGAAATTCCCTCAATTATGAAAGTTTTGTTTCAGTTTTATTTTTTGGAAGTTTTTGATTATTAGAATAAAATGTAACAATGGCTTAAATTACACATGAATTACTCAAACAAATTGCATTTTCAGTTTTGAGACTGTAACTATTTCATTTAAAAAATCCATTGAAACTGTCAGTTGTTTTTTGGCTAAGCATCTATAAAAATACTGAACTTTGTTTCAGATATTGTAGGAAACTATCTTGTATTCCTCCTAAAGTATATCTTTCATTTATTACAGCTTCAAAATATACTGAAATTAGAGAATATCAGAAGTTGTTTGTATTTCAAGCTATTTTGTATACTTTATAAATTTTAAATGTAATATCTTAGGTATATTATTTTCTTTTTTATTTCTTTAAAAAAATCAATGTATTTTAAATGCATACTCAGTTTGAACACTAAAAATATGTATTGCTACTGCTCCTCCTAAATCAGAAGCTTTTAGAGCTTTTAGAATTTGCTTTACTTGACTCCTCTCCTCTTGTCCAAATTTAATTTTCATGAAGTAAATCTGTCCTTCCTATTTTGTGGGTATCTCCCCCCTCAAAGTTACCATTGCTGGTGCTCTCTTAGTGGTGTGGTGCTGAGGCATCTTAAATTCCTTTTCTTTATTTCATATCTAATTTTCATATTTTCATTTTCTTTCACTAATTTTAATGGTGCTTCTTATCCGTGACTCCAAAATACATTTATATTTGGCAAGCACCAGTGCTCCTGGTGTTTGCCTTGTGAAAAAATCCCACCCTTCCTTTTATTAGAAACCTGGCGGTGCCTCTGAGTAAACTATACTTCTTTTCCCATTGATGAGATATGACTCAGAGCTCTGTGTATGTTAGAGGCATATATTGTATTGGTTTCATACACTTACATATTGCAAAGTGATTGCAATAGCTATCAGTCCCATTATTATGGTACATACACATTATTCATTTTTAGTGTTGAAAACAGTTACGATGTAGCCTCTGAGCAACTTTGAAGTTTATCATGCAATACTGTGGTCACTAATCCCTGTCAGCATTATGTATCACCAGTTAGTTTATTTACTAGTTGTAAGTTTATATCCAAAAACAGCATGACCTCAACACCACCCTGCAAATTCTAGACCCCTGGAAACTACTGTCTATTCCTGCTTTTTGCCAGTAACCATATGTCTTGAAATCTAAGGACTTCACGTTCAGATCATTTCTGACCACATTTTACTAATTTCCTACTCTTACACTGAAGATGCACGTGAATGTGGGTCTGTTGAGCATGATGGCACAACATAACCACAAATAACTTAAGTTCTGGGACTCTGTTTAGGCTAGCCAGGAGCTCTGACCAGCTTTAGAGGCAGCCAGCAACAATGGTTTCCCTTCTCATTTAGCTCTCCCAAGTCCTGAAGCTTTTGACCAACTTCAGACTGATTAGTTGTAACCATGAGTTCAGCAGACCTGTGGATTTGTTTTATGGATAAACTTGAACAATTAAAAAAAAAAGAATTACCTCCAAAAGAATATTCAGCCTTTAAAAAGTAACTTCAGTTACTTCAGTTTTTTGAACTTTTAGAGAAGAACATTTATATTTGTAGTATCATCTATACTTTATTCTTGAACCATTGTTGAAAGAGTTTAGTATAAAGTTGATCTGCTCTTGACTGACCTACCACTACTGATTATCTTTAAACAAACTGAATTTACTTTCTTATGACCTTTTGCTTTCTAGAAAGTGCTATTAATATAAAAAGAGACATCAGAAGTTTTGAAAGTGAGAGAGGGAATGGCACCATCAATATTGAGCTTTAGGAAGGACTGTCTGAGTAGAGTTATATAGGGAATAGATTGCAGAGAGAATGAAACTTGGCTACATTTCAGGGCTTTCCAGATGCCATTACTTCTATTTATATGTTACATTTAGAAATACTCTTGATCTTATAAATTGGACTGAAAAGAGTCTTAAGGCGGACTCTGTCACTTGATAGTTGTGTGATCTTGGGCCAGGTATGTAAAAAGTTTTGGCCAATTTCCTAATTTGTAATAATGGAATTAATGTCAGCTATTTTGCAGGATTGTTACTTGACTTAAATGAGTAGAAGTGTCTGTATAGATGTGTTTAGGTCAGGACCTCAAATGTGTAAGTGCTTAGTAACTGAGAATTATCATAGTGAGAATTAGGTTAAATACCACGTGGGGCCACAAATTCCAGCTCCTGGTTTACAGAGGTCACTCCACGAATATACTCATGCCATGTCTCTCACTCCTAGAATAATCTGTAGATGTCCAGGCTGAGTCAGAACAAGACTGTTTGCATGAAAAGCCTCCCAAACATGTGCCCCTGTATCTCCCAAAATGACAGAATAAGTTGATTTTTTTCTATTCTCAACGTGCAACTATTCCAACTCTTTTCTTTGAATAGATATGGTGCCATCAGGCTTGTTGTCACTGGAAATAGAATTAGAAATCAATTTCATTTATTCTTATCTTTCACCTTTATCTCATATATTCAACCTATCACTGAGCCTTGAAATTTCCAACTTAAAATATCTCTCTCAGATTTGAGTTTTTAGTCTCCACCATTCACAGCCCAAGTGCAAGCTCTTAGCACCTCTTAACTAGATTAGAGTCAGAATCTCCTGGCTTATCTCCCTAACAGAAGGTATTTTTCCTGTAATGCAGGCTGCAAACCACCTCCAAAATGATCTGAAAATACTCATTTGTTATCATATGCCACCTTCAGCAACCTATAATAGTTCTGTGATAATAAATGCAGCCCTTATCTCCTCCCACCCAGACCTGGCTTTCAGTTCCTTATATGCCAGATCCGAGCCTAAGCACATGACTATACATAATACCTACCTCAAGCACCCAGCCATACAGATCTCCTGACAGTCCCTTAGAAAGGCTATGCTTCCTCCCCACCTGCTATTTTCCTTATTCTGTTACCTTGAATGCACCTCAAATTGTAACTATAACTCAAGCACCAATTCAGTTTCATCTCTTCCTTTACACTAATATTTTCTTTTTTTCTGAATTAGTTCCTGTACTTTTATTCCACATCAAAAGGAGAGACTACGGTGCTTTCTATTGGTTTCAGTTCCACATGTGTTACAGGGCAACCCCAATGTGAAATGGGTTGACCTGACTGTGGGTCCTCACCCACTCACCTAAAAGGGACATATAATGAGACTCAACTGCAGGCACACACAAAAATCTTAATAAAGGGTTTATTTACAGAAAGTAGAAATGAACAAAGAAATAACAAAGGGGGGAGAAAGAGAGAGAGAGAGAGAGAGAGGGAGAGAGAGAGAGAGAAACCCTAAGCCCACAGAACCTGGCTGCTTAACTCCACCCTCAGTTCCCAGCAATCCTCCTATAGTGGTGATAGATGACATTACCGAATTTGTAGTCCTTGGTGTCTTGGATGTCTTGGTCTGTGGTGGGGGTAAAGTCTATGAAACCTGTCTTTGTGGAATGCATTCCCATCTTTTGTCCCCAACACAGCTAGCATTGTCTACATGTTCTACCACTGCTTGATCCAGCTTCTGATCCTATACACACAGTTTTTCTTGATCACTCTTATGGAGTGCTGAGTTTAGTATTTATTTAGTATTCCTTACTGTTAAATATTCAGTTTTAGATGTATAGACTACATGTTTTAGTTTAAGAAATCATCCTTCAATGCCCAGCTGCATCAGATATACCAGTAAATTTAGACCAATACTTAAAGACACGTTTTAACCCTAGCTTATTAGTCAGTACTGGTGGCTTGTTGACATTATACAATCTTATGATCTTGAAGATATAAAGTGAGGCTCTTACTAGTGAGTTTAGCCTTTCAGCCAGCCTAACCGTTCTCATTGGGTCTGTCTTACATTCTTCCATTCATAAGATCCATTCTTTGTTATCTGTACATTTCTGTTCTAAGTATATTTCTTTGACATTCTGTTTCAAACATGTTGCTGTGGTCCTGATTGTAGTAAGGTGTCTCTGGCTGAGCAAGACTCACAGTATATGAAAGTAATATGTTTCATTAGAGTTTGACAAAAGAAAACGTATGTATGGCTATGAATTATTCACTTTTGGGATCTTACAGGGCTACTCTATTTATTAAAATGTTAAGCTCCTAACAGTCATGTGTAAAGCTCCCCATGTCTTTCTGATAGGCTTATGCTTTAGCAAATGCTAGTATTTAAGGCCGTGCCTTAGAATTGCACAGTGTAAGAGACAAAATGATATCTAAACCTAAACCATTCTTTAAAGGAGTGATTTTTTCTCCAAGTTCATATAAAAATTTATTTTTATTTCCTCTCCTTTTAACTTATGGGCCACTTTTATTTTCAGTACAATGCCCCACTGTTTCCTCTACTCCAACTTATAAATACACACACACATATATTTTCTTTTTCTTCCTAACTTAAGACAGCTTTCTACTACAATAAACATAGATCTGGCTTAAAACAGGTGCTAATGGATATTGCCATAATATCTGAAATTATTTCCAAGTGTTTAATTCACTTCCAGGAAAATCTGGCTCATATATATTTCTTAGACATCAAATTGATTCCCTAAACATGATGGGTTTCTCTAAACATACAATAAAATATTAACCTGAGGATTTTTATACATTACCCACAAATGAAAAGATAACTGTGACCAAAAATAAAAACATTTGGAAAGGTAACAATTCCTTTTTTTTTTCAAATCCCCTATAATTATTTTGCTGAAGAGGCAGGATTCATTTAACTTTTGGTTATTCTGTTCTGTGTGGAGGTATTTTTATTTACTTTTTTGCTGATGTTTGAATCTGGGTTATGTTTTATGACAATTGTCAGTCTCCCACATCTAATTGGCACTCAGATGGACTGAATTTTTTCTTATGATTTTTTTCTTGTCTGTAAAATATTGTGGTGACAAGTTTAAGCACTTGTTATTGCTGATGATATTCACTTTTTTGTTTGTTTTTTAACTTTTTATCTAAACATGAAATGCACACAGACCTAAGGGTAAAACTCAATGAATTTTGCATGAATGAGCAGGCTTGGTCACATTCACCTGATCATGAAACTGAGCATTACTAATAGCCTGGGATTCTGTTGTCTAGTTCCTGTTTTATTGATAATGTACTTTTTAAAAAACAGAGCATGTTTTAGACAAAACTCTTCTCATTGACTTTCATGTTTTATATTTTGCCTCAAGTATGTCTAAGCAACATGGTGAAAGGTAGATCTGCTATGCATCTTGGCTCATAGCTTGTGGAATGATTAGTAGTTTGAACACAGCGTCCTAGACTTGGACACTTCTAGCTATGAGCAATGTCAAGTCATTGATGAATCTTAAGTATTTTTAGGAGGTTCCAGGTTCCTGCACATTATTAATTATTAGGCACTTCTTGAGTGGGGGCATTTTCTTGCTCTTTGTGTACTTTTCACTCATGATGATATGGTTACTGGGCTTCCTAGAGACCCTGCTGCAGCTGCCTAGCGCTACCAGTCATAGAGGAAAAACTCCATGCTGGTATTTTTTTTTTTTTTCTTTTAGCTCTGCAAAGACTAGTATTTCATGGCACTGATCACTAGTACCAACTTTTATAATCTCAGATTACGATATGCATAGTGCCCAGCTCCGCAAGCACATACTGTGCAGCGCAAAACTATATGATTGTACTAGAGACCTAATTTCTTTTCTCTTGACAAGGAAAGCCTACAGGCCAAAAAGCTGTCTTTCAGTTCATTTCATTTTTGCCATCTTGTCTTTCCTCTGCTAACCCTCAAATAACTTTATAGAGTGGTTCATAGTCTATCATGGCAGTTGCAGTTTGTCAGAAACCCATGGGACAGAGGCATGATGAGGCCTCTGTGCTCAGTGCTGGCAGAGACCAGGGTGTGCTGCCCCATTGTCCATTAGGGTCACATGTATGTTGTTATAAAGCACAGCCAAGAGCAAAAATTCAGGACCTTCTACGCTACAAAGAAGGATTTTTATCATGGATCTTGCTCTTTTAAAGGGATGTTAGAATCTGCATTCTAGTGTTTATAGAGGTTGTGCACACCCTAAAATTTAAAAAAAAAAAGTGTTTTTCTTTGTAACAACCATGGTACAGGAGAACTTAGGAGACATAATTTGTCTCTGATTTTGGTTCAGGTTTTATCCTGATCTGTGTATTAATTAATTTCCTAGGGCTTCCATAACAAAATAACACAAAATGAATGACCTATAACAGATATTTATTCTCTCATTGCTCTGGAACATAGGAATCCAAAATCAATTTTGACAGACCATAAGCTTCCTGAAGGCTGTAGGGGAGCGCTTTACTGCTTTTCCGGGTGCTCACCAGCAGGGCTTAACATTTCCTTGACTTGTAGCTGTGTCATGGAATGTCTGCCTCTCTTGTCATGTGGCTTTCTTCCCCCATTGCTGTTTCTCTCTTAGGGCCCAATCTAATCCAGGGTGACTTCATCTGAACCTAAGTACATCAGCAAAGACCTTATTACAAGTGAGTTCACATATGCAGATTCTAGGAATTAGGACATCACCATTTCTTTAGGGGAACCAAATTCAACCCACAACACTTGTGTAATTACCTCTAAACCCAAAATTCAAAGACTGTAATTTATCCTAAGAAAATTGATTGAGTTCAACAAGTTAATAAGCCAATCACTGATTTTATTTGCAGCATAGTATGCATTTTTATTTTCTAATCAGAGTAGGGTTTTCTTTTATTTAGTTCTCTGTACACATGACTTTATCTGGTGATCTTCAACAATTCATGCCTCTTGACAAAGACCAAATGTGCCTAGTAAGATAAACCTAGTTTTTCTTATAAACAAGTTCGTATGCCACCAAGAAACAGACCTGCAAGCTATGGATGCTTTTAGGCACAGTTACTTTTATTTCATGTAATATTACCTAGTAGTGGTTTATTATTATATAAATATCCTTAACTACAAGACATAAAATTAACAGGACAGATGTTTTAGACTCACGGTCAATAGATAACCCCTTTCAAGAGAGTTCTGTCACCAATAGTAAATCAACCCTCATTAGATCCTTATGCTCGATTACCAATTAATTGCTTCCAAAGGTAAGTTGAGTATGGAAATTAATATAGATATGACTAAAATTTGATGACTTTTAATATAAAAATTTCTGATGTTCTTTTTTTTTTTAAGATTTATTTATTTGTGCATACAGTATTGGGGCACAGGCCAGAGGCTCAGGGGTGGCGAGAGGCTTCAACAGAGACAGAGTGGGGAGCAGAACAGGCAGATCGACGAAGTACACTGCTGAGGGGAGCAGCGGGCGGGTCATGAGAGGTCTGCCACGCCATGTGGTCACATCCAGGGCAGGCAGGAATCGAACTCATGTGGAAGTGGCTTTAGCTTCTTAGTGCTGTGCTTTAACCCGCTGTGCCACCAGGGAGGGCCCTCTGATGTTCTTTTTTTAGTCTAACAAAACATGTTAAAATTGTGTTCTTCCCTAACATGCATAATTTTCTATAGTGTTCATATTTCCTATTAAATTTATATAAAGTAGGGAGATAGCAATCTCTAGATACCTTTAAATAGCTATTTTATCAAATCTGTGTTGTTCCAGTAAAAACTAACACCTCAATTTTAAAACATCAATATTTAATACACTGTGTTTATCACCATCATTTAGACTTGTGACCAAGATTGATAAAAGACTGAGAAAAATTTCAGTTTGGGTTCATACAAGTTGGAAAGTATTAACATATACTTTAATACTAAATTAATGTAGAGTTGATAAATACAATATAGAGATATATTTTTATAATCATAATCATCTTATATTTATATCCTGTTCCTACTGAGATGAACCTCTGGTTACATTTACATATTGAATTACGAAGTTAAAACTAATGATGGGATCAATTATGCCCCATACTGAGCTGTGCACTTTGGAATGACTTTGAGAAAACAGGAGGGTCAAAAAAAAAAAAAAAAGGCATCCACAGCACAGAGTCATTTCAAGATTATGCTAATAGATAAGCAAAAGAAGGACTGTATTGGACATTGTTTATGTTTGTCAAAAAAAATCAGACTTTTCTGGTGCAAAACCTATGCACATTTTTTGTATAAACATTTCTGAGAATTAGAAAACATAGGCTAGTTCACGGAAGTTGTGGAATGGTTTATGTAAAGTAGCTCTATAAGGACAAATGGAATGTGAATCCTTTTATGATCATGTTTATTTGCTCTTGTAATTCTTTTAATGTACTTTTAATGTATTTGCTGTATCTCATTGAAATACAATCAGCCGTGCTTGCTGTTTTCACACAGCATCTGATAGTATCCTCTTTCTCCCTTCCTAGCTGCATAATAAATGTGCTTCTCATCTAAAACCTGAATGTGACTGTGGACCTCTGAAGGACCATATTTTACCACCCACAACAATCTGTCCAGTGGTACTGGTGAGTTTTTCCTTCATTCTCATAATTATGCTATTACTTGGGTCTATGCTAACAGGTACACTGTTCTACTAAATGTTTCCAGCTTTTCCACTAATTTTCTATTGATAAGAAAAAAATGTTATAAATTTAAAATAGCTCCTTACTTCAAAGAAGGTATCTTTGCTACTTTATTTCCTCTTTCTTCCATGGCACCATAAACTTTTCAGTAAGATATGCTCTGACGCTGACTCAGGTTTTATCACTTAGTCATGCTGTACTTACCAGAAATGGTATAGGCAGAACACATCTACATTTTACATATTTTATAGATCCAGCTTCCCAGAATAATGAAGTTATTCTGATGAGCAGTTTTTGCTGGGGATGCACATTATATATCTGCAGTGTTGGTGTCTCTCGCCTAGGTCAGAGGCTACCTTGAGTGATGATCCATAGCTTGATGACCCAATGCTGTGCACTGCTGTTAGGTGTACTATTTCTTATTAGTGAAGAATAAATTTAACTACATGCAAAATGATTATATAACTCAATAATTACATAAGAAAAAAATGAATAAGATAACTGTGAAAAGATTGTCAACCTTAAGATAAGCAGATAATCAACGATAAAATTTTTACACCTAAAACTCAAACTTGTTTTGAAAGTAAAATTGTAATTCTACAAAACAAACTATTTTATATCCTTAATGCAGTTTTCGTTTTTAAGAACAACATGAAAATTAGGCGGCTGGAGCTTTAGTATGATATAATAAAAATACAACTACTAAGAAATGTTAGACAAATACTTTTCTAAAGGTCAACCTCGAAATTAATCAAATTACTCAATTTGCACCCACTTATGATTCATTTTGTAATTATCTGTAAAATACTTGTATTTTAAATGCCTTTATTTCATAAAATTATTTAAAAATCTTCATTTTCTCAAACTCAAATATAGAGCAAAAGAAAACTCTGTATTGCTGAGAATAGCAAATAAGTTTAAATTTCCTTTCTTTATGTAAGATTTATTAGACCTCCTGTAGTAAGTAAGAGTAATTAAAAATAATGAGAGTTGTGCAGCTTATATTTACATTCATTTTGGTGTTATTTTTAATTTTTAATGATATTGTCTTAAAGAGATAGCACTATAAAAGTTTTACATAGTTTCTTGCTTTTATTATTTTTATTGAGGTAATATTGGTACATTTCAACCATTATAGGTGATTCAGAATTATAGTTTCATACCTTTCCAGTTGTATGTTACTACACCATACCATGGCTTCAGTGCAACCTTGATCCCAGATTTCAGCTCTAAGAATGTTTCAAGTCATCCTGCCAACCAGTACTTGCTTGGAGCCAACTCAATTATCTTACCAGGGAACTATTTTGTTGGCCCATTTATGTTACCCTCAGGTCACCCAAAATCAAACATGTAATGGGTTCTTTTATTCTATCCCTTTTCTTTCAGAGAGTCGAGGGTAATAATATGTTACATGAATATTTTTGTCTTCTAACAATCTTTCAAACACTTTCATTACTATGTTAAGGTACTTTTGACTCTGAAGGTTTATTTTAAACCTTCCTACATTTCAATCATGCATTTACTCTTTTACTATTTCCATGGTACAATCTACAGTTATGAATTTGTCACTAATGATTACTTTGCCCTTCATGAGCGTCTATCTTTCGATGGTTTCTATGATAACATAATTTCCTCGTCCTATTTCTGTTTCTTTGGACACTTTCTCTTGTTTTCTGGCTTTTATGACCTTCACTGCCCCCTGCTGGAATATCCCTATTCTACCTGCACATATCTCAGCTTTCCCCTCTGAGCAGTCTTCCCAGTGGGATCTTGTTTGTTTCATAGATCTTATTATCACATCAACTTATATTTCATTCTTCCTCCTCTTCTTAATTGTTTACCTATATAGTTACAATCTGGAAGTCTTGTGTTGTTTTACATGCCTGATATACATATTAACTATTTAATGTAGTTATTGCAACTCTTATGACCCCAGTTCAGTGGATTAAAGGAATTGCATTGGTGGGGAGTAATGAGCTGTCACTGGTTAGTAACTATAAATTTAGAGTTATTATTTCTCCTATTACATTCTACCTCTTGAAATAGAATAGGCATAAACTAGCCTTCACAGGACTGTTGCCAAATGGGATGAAAGAAAGAACCAGAGTTAGATGGTAACATGACTATTACCATTGTTTGTGAAATCTAATCTGAAGAATTAAGGAGATGAAGAGAAAGGCACTTTAATGAATGTTAGGAAAAGTATAGTTTGCACTTGAGTCAAAGATTGTTGCAACTAAGTTTCTTGGTAATGGATTAAAGGAGTGAGTCTGTGTAGCACTGAGATCATGAAGAGGCTTCATTTATTGGTAATAGTGTGTATAAATTCATTTAAACCTCACAATAACACCATAATATAAGTACTACAAACTTCCTTGTTTTATTTATGAAGAATTAAGCAACGTCTATGAAGTGGCGGTACTAAATTGGAACCTAGGAATTTTCACTCTAGAACTTGTGCTATGAATTTATTATTCCCACCCTTTCCCCAAATCTCCTTAAATGTCTTATCTCAGTGACTACAAGTCTTATCGCCCCAATTTTTCCAAGATAAGGACCTAATAATCATTGTTGATGCCTCATCTTGAATATCAAATTAATCATTAGACAGCTAATTCTAATTGTTCCAAACAGTTTTCCTTTCTTCAACCCAGTTCTAACTGTGTCATTAATACAAATTGTTCTCAGGATTGTTGTAGTATTTTTACTAAATATACTCCTTTCCACCCACCCTCCATTTTGTTTGCTGAACTCCTTTTAAAAAATGAAATAAATTATTTGCTGATTCAACATTTTTAATTTTAAAAATACTTTTAGTGATTCCTATTTGAATGCCAAACTCTGTAACATAGTAAATCCCTCATATACCATCTTATATAATAGAAATTAAGGATAATTGACCTCCTGCTATTTCTCTAAGTACATCTGGTTTTGCAAACCTTTGGGTTTTTTTTGTATATTGTAACAAATCTCCCTAAATCACTTTATTTCAAAATTTCACTTGCTTACTAATCAGAAATTAAAGGTAACTTTCTTATCATGGAATAAATACACTAAATATTAAAATGATTAACTATTTAAATACTACTACTTTAAACAAATTAATACAACTTCCCTGCCTCTAGAATTGCTGACTATGCTCTGACTGATGGAGTCTGAGACTTTTCCATTTGTGAACTCTCTTAACTTCCCAGGGATGATTCCACACTGCATATGCCACTATAAAATTTTCAACTTTGTGTTCAAAGATCATCAGTCCTTGCAAATATTATAATATTGCCTTTATTTATTCTTTAATAACAATCTTCTTCTTAAAATAAAAAAGCATATGTAAATTCATGTAAATTACAATATCTTACTAATATTCTCTAAGAAGAGCAGGAGAGGTTGAGAATTAATTACTGTAAAATGACAGCTCTTTCTGTCACATTCCAGAAAACGTAAAATAAGGAAGTTAAAATATCTAGTTGTATTGAAATTTTTCCCTTTGATATTTACTCTGTAATCAGTTACTGATTCTTAGATAAGTAATATGAACTCAATACACATCTCTAATTCTTGCTTGAAGTATCTTAATGACATCTGACAAAACCAGTTTATTCATCCACCTTCTGATCTTTTAGAATATCCATTCTAGGTACTATTTTTATATTCTTAAAGTTTCTTTACCACCTTTCTCAGCTTTCTAATTCTTCTCTGACACTTGTTATTAAATTTAAGTTAGTGACTTAATTGCTATGCTTACCTATTATGGTGATTAGCAAGGTAAGCATCTTTTCTGCACTGGTGACATGCTTTGGTAAGCATGTACTATGAATTATTTCCACAGATAATTGGCCTTGATAGTGCCTATTGCCATAAAAAATGGATTTAAACTAACTATTCTGAAATAAAAATTAAAATGTAACCAGTTATTTCACATATGATATGTAATAACCATTTTTTGCGGTTTCAGTTAACATTTAGCACATTTGAGAGTATTAGCAAAGAACTATACAGCTTAAAATGTATGTTAATGCAAGAATTCTATTTTACTGACTGTAGCTATTTATAATGCTTTCCTTGATTTTTTTTTTCAGCAAAGTGATATATCCACAATCCACTTACTGCCACATTGAGAACTGAGAACTATTTATAACGTTTTACATTTTAAAAAATATTTTTGAAATAACATTTTATTATTGAGGTATAGTTATTTGTATGTGGAGATATAGGTAAGAACTCCCCATCCAGTGTTGTTACCATGCCATACATTCCACCAAAACACCATTATTTCTTGAAAGTCTTATCTCATGGCATGCCACCTCCAAAATGAATCCATTCTCTTCAGATTCTTCATAAAAAGCTCAATTTCTATAAAAGGTCACTAATTCTTCACAACTGATTTCCAGAGCACATCTCTAGACTTTTGTTTGAATCCATTATGCATTCTTGATTCTTGTTATAGATCATTCAGATATTTCTGCTGTCTAATCTCAAAGGGACAGTGCAAGAAGCAACTATAGTAACTTCATTTGGAAATAAATATAATGAGCATAGAACCCACCCACTCTTTATTATGTACTTTACTCCTAACTGAAGACAGACTTTGCCTATGTTTTTTAGTTTCTTGTAGATTAGCTTTAATTAAATTTGAGTTCATCATTATGCCATTAACTTGGCCTGAAACACATTAGAAAAATCATATAAAATCCCTAATTGTAATTGGAAAAAAAGTTGTGTTGTGGCATTTAATTTTCTGATAGAAATAACTCTCAATTTTGTTTGTATTGTTGGTTGTCTTTTGGACCTTGAGTCTTTTACTGTTGTGTTGATCTTCAGTCCTCTATCTTTAGGAGTTTTACAGGCAAATTTATACCCACATTTGTCTATAATATGTTGTTATATTTACATTTATGTGTTAAACTATAACTTTATTAGTGTTTTTGCCATGAATTTCCTTT